CCCCACACTACATTTAGTCCGGCCTTCCCAAAGCAGGACTAAATGTAGAAGGCAACTTGGCCCCCGGAACTATATGTTCCGGGTCGGGGGACTCCACGCCGCTGCCGCCCCTCGGCGCCCTGCCGCCCCAGGCCTGGCCTCGGTGGGCTTGTGGGGAATCCGGGCCTGGGGATCGGCTGTACCGCTCCTTTTCACAATACAAGTCTATGAGTCGGCTGACCCGCTGAAAACAATGCCCCCCTTGTGTGGCTGTATATATTTATCTCGGCGGCAGTTAGGCGGTGATCCCGCATGATTGTTGTGGACTGAAACATGTCACAATGTGGCCGTCAGACCCAAATAACATCAACATAAGAGCTAAAAATCATCATCTGAGTGAAAATATTTTCTCGTTTTATGGAACCCGATTTCCCTCCCTTGTCCCATCCCCCGGAGCGCCTCACCTGTAGCCGGAATCTGTTTGATTTACAGACACGCTGCTGTGTATAGCGGAGATGCTGCGAATTACCAAACAAGCCATGGAGTCCGACGTCCCCGTCATTGAGAAGAAGCTGGAGAGGTGAGCGCTGCGGCCCAATGATGGATACACCGGGGGAGGGGCGGGGGGTAGAATGTGAAGCACCATAGACCGGCATTCCTGTGGTGGTCAGTCCATTCTCTGGTACTGATGGAGCCGGCGTGCTGTGTGGGGGATGGTCATGGCCAGTGTCTGGTTTTAGTGATGTTTGGTGTGTGGATTGGCCCAATGTTGCAGTTTCTGGTGCACATGAAGGGGATCGGCATGGTGTTTGTTTCTTGTATGAAGGGATCGGAGTCTCGGTCTCCAGTGTGCATGAAATGATCAGTATCTTGCGCTTAGGTGCCATAGAAAGGATCGGCTTGGTGTGGTAGGTTGGTTTCGTGGTGCCTGATAGGAAGGGATCTGCTCGGTGCTGAAGTTTTTGGTATATAGGGATTGGGGTTGGTGTTGTAGGTTCTGGTATGAAGGAATGGGCTCACTATTGTAGGTTCTGGTATGTATGGATTGGCTTGGTGTTGCAGGTTCTGGTATGTATGGATTGGCTTGGTGTTGCAGGTTCTGGTATGAAGGGATTGGCTTGGTGTTGTAGGTTCTGGTATGTATGGATTGGCTTGGTGTTGCAGGTTCTGGTATGAAGGGATTGGCTTGGTGTTTCAGGTTCTGGTATGAAGGGATGGGCTCAGTATGGTAGGTTCTGGTATGAAGGGATGGACTCAGTATGGTAGGTTCTGGTATGAAGGGATGGACTCAGTATGGTAGGTTCTGGTATGTATGGATTGGCTTGGTGTTGCAGGTTCTGGTATGAAGGGATTGGCTTGGTGTTGCAGGGTCTGGGATGAAGGGATGGGAC